ACTGGTTTGGACTGGGAATTCTCCCATTTTTAACCCTTTAACGACGAGAAAAAAACGAGAATTAATCGGAAATTTCGCCGATTTTTGGGATTGTGCTCAACCCATTTATTATCCCAAACTCCAGTTTGGACTGGTCTGGACTGGTCTGGACTGGTTTAAACTGGTTTGAACTGGTTTGAACTGGTTTAAACTGGGAATTCTCCCATTTTTAACCCTTTGACGACGAGAAAAAACCGAGAATTTATCAGAAATTTCACCGATTTTTGGGGTTTTGCTCAACCCATTTATTATCCCAAACTCCAGTTTGGACTGGTTTGGACTGGTTTAAACTGGTTTAAACTGGTTTGAACTGGTTTGAACTGGTTTAAACTGGGAATTCTCCATTTTTAACCCTTTAACGACGAGAAAAAAACCCGAAACAATCCGAAATTTCGCCGATTTTTGGGATTTTGCTCAACCCATTTATTGTCCCAAACTCCAGTTTGGACTGGTTTGGACTGGTTTGGACTCGTTTGAACTGGTTTGAACTGGTTTAAACTGGGAATTCTCCCATTTTTAACCCTTTAATGTCAATAAAAAACCCGAAATAATCCGAAATTTCGCCGATTTTTGGGATTGTGCTCAACCCATTTATTATCCCAAACTCCAGTTTGGACTGGTTTGAACTGGTTTGGACTGGTTTGAACTGGTCTGAACTGGTTTGAACTGGTCTGAACTGGTTTAAACTGGGAATTCTCCCGTTTTTAACCCTTTAATGTCGATAAAAACCCGAAATAATCCGAAATTTCACCGATTTTGGGGGTTTTGCTCAACCCATTTATTATCCCAAACTCCAGTTTGGACTGGTCTGGACTGGTCTGGACTGGTCTGAACTGGTTTGAACTGGTTTGGACTGGTCTGAACTGGTTTGAACTGGTTTAAACTGGGAATTCTCCCATTTTTAACCCTTTAATATCAATAAAAAACCCGAAATAATCCGAAATTTCGCCGATTTTTGGGGTTCTGCTCAACCCATTTATTATCCCAAACTCCAGTTTGAACTGGTTTGAACTGGTCTGGACTGGTTTGGACTGGTCTGGACTGGTTTGAACTGGTTTGAACTGGTTTTAGGCGTGCAGGAAGCGGTTGAAGGCGTTGTAGGCGGCCTCGAGGTCGAAGAGCATTTGGCGAACCTGGGAATCGTCGAGCTCGTCCGAGGCCGACATCGCACTCAGGGTCTGCAGCCTGGGGGATTTATAAAAAAAAAAATAAATTAAATGAAATTATAAATTAATAAAATTAATAGGAATGTTGTCTGAAATCCCAGAAAAAAAACCCAAAAAATCCCGAAAAAATCCGACCAAATAAACCCAAAAAATCACTAAAAATAAAAAAAAAACTCCCTAAAAATCTCCAAAAAAATCCCCCAAAATTCCCCAAAAAATCCTGAAAATTCCCCCCAAAAATTTCCAAAAAATTCCCTAAAAAAAAATCCCAAAAATTCCCCAAAATATTCCCCCAAATTTTCCCCAATCCCCAAATCCCAAACTCGTCCGAGGCCGACATCGCACTCAGGGTCTGCAGCCTGGGGGATTCATTAAAAAAAAATAAAATAAATGAAATTATAAATTAATAAAATTAATAGGAATGTTGTCAGGATAGTCCCAGAAATCCCCCCCAAAAATCCCGAAAAAATTCCCAAAAAATTCGAGGAAAAAATCCCAAAAAAATCCCCCAAAAATCCCCAAAATTCCATTAAAAAGTCGCCAAATATTCCCCAAAAAATCCCCAAAATTCAGCAAAAAATCCTGGAAGTTCCCCCCAAAAAATCCCCAAAATTTCCAAAAAATTCCCCCCAAATCC